GGGTCCTAGTGGGGAGCCAGCTATGGTCACTCAATTAGGGTGAACTGCAAAGAATGGGGCAGACAATCCCCCATAAAGCTGATGGCTATTCCAATACTTAGATTTACCAAACCAGCACAAAACAGCTTATTTGTTACTCAGAAGTCCAAACAACACAGTTCCCTTAAAGTGATCCAGCCTCAGGCCTTCATCCAGGTACCCACAGCAAATCTGATGAAAATTTCTGTAAATCTTATTTCTTCATATAAAAGAAAAGGTTCTACCAATCCCAAAGGACCGGACACATTACCTCCCAGGTTAATCTATATTTCAGATCTTACCCAAATACACGCTACAGCCAATTCTTATTAACTAAACTAAAATTTATTAAAAAACAAGAGAGAGAGAGTATGGTTAAAAGATTAATATACCTAGAGACATAAGTTCAATTCATTGAGATGCAGATTCATAGCAGAGCTGGCGAGCTTTGTAGTTGCAAAGAGTTCTTTCAGAAATAGTTCATAGATTATAGTCCAATGTCCAATATCACCTTCAGGGAGCACCAGTACAACTGGGACCTCAATCTTGCGACTCAAACGTCCCCTGATGAAGCTTAAGCAGATCTGAGATGACAGAATCAGGACCCAAGGATCTTTTATACAATTTCATGTCTTTTGACAAGTTGGGATTTCTTTGGGGAACAAAAGGTCATTAGGATGACTTTGAAGGAGGTACTTAGCTATACTAATTAACATAAGGCCACTTGCTTGTTCCGCCACCATTCACAGTACATGTCAAAGAGAGATGAATACTGAGATATCCCGTGTTTACAGTTCATTTAAATGCTAGGCTGTTCTTTTGACCTCTGAATTATCAGAATACAGCATAGACAGGGACTGTTGATTATATTGTTGACCCTATTCATACATATGTAAAAACACAAACATCATCTCCCCACATGTCTTTTGAGGGTTATTTATTTTGCAGGATGTTTAATCCTTTCTAGCCATGTGTCACAGTTACCAGTTAGTGCTAGTATGCTCTGCTAACTATTATTTGCTTTACAGGATGTGTGTGTTGTAGGTGTTTAGGAACTGGACTGAAAATCCAGTCTCACTTCATGTAGTCCACAGTCTAGCTAGCTGTAGAAAGTACAAGATAAATATTTGATTTGTGGGTTTTGGAGGGAATCCTTTTGATACATCTGATAAGTAAACCACAGGACAGATGTAGCTGGCCTGTCTGATACTCTCCAGAAGCTATAACTTCCCTTTTTTCAAATATCTATTGGAGGCCTTAGTGGAAATCACTTACCTTGAAATCTGTTTTTTCAGAGAACATCTTCGTGATGTGGAAAATCCTTTCCCAGCGCCCAGTTTCAAGTAAATCAGCTGCATGCCCACAGGGACAGAAACTTTCACCACTGCCCGCAGGCCACTGCTAAATGGCATAGCTGCTCGGCAGGTGGGCTTGCTCACTAAGCTTTAGCCCTAACGCTTCTACAGGAGAAAATTGGCTGTTAACTGTGAAAACTGGGCTGTATAGCTGTGAACCTGCCCAGCCTCAACCCCCCTGCGCACTGAGGTGCAGGTAGCTTCTGGTGCTATGTTCTGACAAGTAAGGGATCTGCACCCTTTGTGTGGGCAGCTCCCCAGCACAATGTGAGTGCATCAGTTCCTGTTTCCTCTCCTAAAATAGCCCCTTCATTCCCTAATCAGCCTAGTCGCTCTTTTCGGCACTTGCGCTGATTTGAATTCATCTTTCTTGAACTTCCGTGAGCAGAACTGAACACAGTATTCCAAATGAAGTCTTACCAGTTCATTGTACAATGGCATTAATACTTCTCTATCTGTACTGGAAACGTCTCGCTTGATGCATCTTCGTTCCGATCCCATTTGCTTTTTTCACAGCCGCCTTATGTTGGTAGTTCATGGTTATCCTGTGATTGACCCCCACATCCAGGGGTCTCTCCTCTTCTGTCACTTCCAACTGAGGAGCTCCCAGCTTGTAGCAGAAATTGTTATTAGACCCTAAGTGCATGACTTTGTACTATTGAGTTTTATCCCATTTCTGTCACTCCAGTCTTCAAAATCATCCAGATCTTCCTGTTTAATATTCTGATCCTTGTCTGTATTGATGATGCCTCCCAACTTGTACATCTGCAGTAAGCCTGGATTTTAAAAAAATGAAATAATATATAATTCCCCAATTCGCTGTCAGATTTTAGTTCTAAAGTAGGTCAGATTAGGGCATGAACTACTTGACAGGAACCCTTTTAAGGTCAGTGTTGTATTACTTTTGTTATTTTTTATTCTAGTATTTACCCTGTCCCTTCCAACTTCAGACTTCCTTTATCCCATCCAGATAAACTAAAACAGTTGCAATTATTAGCCTCGCTCATTTGAGATGGCTGTTTCCAAGGGAAATCTAATACACACTTGTGTTTTGTTGCTGTAACTGACTTTTCTAAACAAATTCTGCTTTCATGCTCCCAGGCAGCCCACTGACTTCACAGGTATTGGCACAGGCTATAAGTGAGGATAGAATCTGGCCCTACTAAGTTCTTAAAAACTTCTGGTAAACTTAGTACAGATTTTTCTCTCCACCCACCCTTCTCTCTTTCTCATGTAATCTTTGGGGCACAATAAATGTAGGACTGTCAGGATTCACACTGCTTTCTGTTCTAATGAACATTTGCATCAACTAAAGGGTTAAATCGGAATCCAGTGCAAATAATTTTAGAGTATTGTCATGATCCATGAAGAATTATTTGCAAGATTAACAAAAGCAAGAAAAAAAATCAGGCATTGCTTTGCAACTCCTGCAGTATACATGCCAACTGCCAATGCCGCTAGCTCGCTGGGATGAACCAAGACAGCTATAGGGCAGAAAGAAAAGGGAACTGTGATTGGGAGATGAAAAGGAAGAGTAATGAATTAGTTTGGTTGCTTTCCAGTGTAACATTCTGAAAGTGGAAAGAAAAATGTCACTTCAGAGGGATGAGTTTTTACTGATTTTCATTATATTGGGAAATCAAAACAAGTTATCTGGACTTGAAGTAAGTAGATTTTTTTTTTCTTTCCCCCTTCAAGTGAAAATAAGTCTTCAGGGGTGTGTGTGTGTGTGTGTGTGTGTGTGTGTGTAAAATATAGATATATATATATATATATCTATCTATCTATATACACACACACACACACACCGTAAGAATCTGTGGAGTTAACACTAGCATTTGCTGGGGAAGAGACATGTAGAAGATATGGGGCTGATCTTAATTGAATCCTCTTTCTCTTTTGCTTGCATGTGAAGAGAAATCATTCTTGTCCTCAAGGTTAGAATGCGCTGGCAGCTGCTTGCATCCAGACCAAATCAGGTCCATCGTCTGGTCATTGCTTCCAAAAACAAGTATCTGCGCAAGGCTAGCGATATCTGAGGATTTAAAATCATAACTCCAGTAGTGTGCTACTCTTTTTTTTTTTTTTTACCATGCTCTTGATACTATGACAATTATAATTATGTACAATCGGAAATACTGTGATCGGATTTCTTAAAGCTTTAAATTCATGCAAATATTTTTTTTCTGTTAAATGTAATCAAATGTGCACTGCAGTATTGTACATGGAATGTCTAGTCTATCTGGAGAGGGGCCTGCATTACTAACCCTGAATCTTTTTAAAATACATCTTTAGCTTCAAAGGAATAGGTCAGTTTTGTGCTAATACTAGCACTTGGAGCTCAATACTGTTCAGGAGGGGATTTTAACAAAAAATAAAATAAAAAGCCCCGCTTCCCACCTAGGACTTTCTAACTCTAAAATAAGCTGCAGTGTCATTGAAAGATCTCCCTGATTGATCCCTTAGTATTCAAGCCATGTTATATGCATTTTTATAAATCGTACAGTAGAGCAAACTAGTTTCACAGAATTATAACTGTATGCAGAGTTATTTTAAATGGGAGGGGAAAATAGTAGCTTCCCCATCTGCAAAAATCCCACTTACTGCTGTCCTGTACAGTGGAATCCCTTTCAACCAAGTATTTCATCTGAAGGTAAATAAAAACCCAGTATCCCAAACTTAAGCAAAGAAACACATGCAGAGGTAGAGGCCGCCAGGCTCTGCTGTTGAAATTCTTAAGCACAGGCTGCTGGCGACTCTTCTGTCTCTCCTTTTAAACACCCAGTGGCACCTTATCCCTATGGAATGTAGTAGTGCTCGGTCTTTAACTTTAACTCTGACTCTTCCAGATAGTTTTGTGTCCACCACCACCCCCCAAATCCCCCAAGAAGTAGTATAGTAATTATTTGCTTTGAAGTAGTTCCTAGGAACCTTAGTCATGGACCAGGACCCAGAGTTGCTAAAGCACTGTACTAACGCAACAAAAAGACAGTTTCTGCCCCCAAAAGCTTATAGCGTAAGTATTGTGGCATATTATTTATAACCAGATTACTACAGTACCAAGCTCCTTCCCAGATTAAGATTAGCCCATTCTGTAAAAAGTCTTTTTGGGTGGTTTGAGTGGCAATGTGGTCAAGTGGCTTGGGCACATGGCTGGATGGTCAGGAAACCTGGGTTCGGTTTCTGACTCTGCCACTGACCTGCTGCTCTGTGGGAAAAGCACTTCGTTTCTCTGTGCATGAATTTCCTCTCCCACCCTTCATCCTGTCTGTTTAGATTAGAAACTCTTTGTAACTGGTAGTCCCTTCCCTAATGTGGCTGCACATTGCCTAGCCCAACTGGGGCCTTGTCTAGGCAGTTCTGTAATATAGAAAATAACACGCAGAAGTAGATAATGGTTTATTTTTAAGTCACCTGTTCCTAGTTAGTTTCCAAATATGAAGTCTAATTTCTATACTGTAGCTTTGCTGCATCTCTGTTCGGCGAGCAACACCATCTCATGCTGTGCAACAGTAAATTTACAATGGACGATTACCCTTGTTGATATTTTTTGTGTTTATATTGTATCACACGATATTTTTTGTAAGCAGAATTAAAAAAAAATATTTGTTTCATTTTCTCTCTCAGGGTCTGACAGAAGTTGAGCTTCCTCCTTGGTGCTGGGTGCAGCAATCTGCCTGCAGAGGTAAAGCTTGATAAATTAAGTAGTGCTGGTACCCACCAGGGGAGGGGCTAATCTTCACCTCCTGTGTATCAGTGACAGGATCATATGCTTTCTAGTGGGGACGGGGGAAGGAGAAAGTGGCTCACTAGGTTTATTTAGCATGTAGTTAAATAGTTGTTGTTTGGAACAATAACAATATTTATAAACTTTCTCATTGCATCTGTTTGCTGGTAGATATTTGAAAAGATGTTATTGATAGGCTTTATTTTTTTTCTTTAAATGCCCTACTCTAGGGATCTTCTTTTAAATGATTTTTATTCAGTATCTTTTCTACTCAGTTATTTATGTTTTTAAACAAACAATAGACAAAAACCCCAATATCCCAGATTTCCTTAAAATGGAAACTAATGAAACCCTGTTCCCATGTTCTGCACATTCTCCTTAACTGACCCAGGGCTACTGCTGCACAGGTTTTGCTTGAAGTTTGTACTAGAGAGGTTTTCAATGAGGGATGTGCACATCCTGCTTCCAAAATGCCTTAGCATCAGGAACAACCAGAAAATAGTAAACGCAAAAGTGTTTTGGTTTCTTCACAATTTTTGCTGCACTCTGATAATCTGCAAATTCCAAGCTTTCTTTAAACCTACAAAAAAAAAAATTTCCATTAGGAAATACATAAAATAGGTTCCAACAGCAACTCTACCTCACTGCATACTTGTATTAACTGGGGTTCCTTTTTTTCCTGGTTAAATAGATTTTATGACAAGCAGTAGGTCCTAAAATATGTGGAGTGCAGCTGAGCTATTGTTGATTTTAGAGCTATCATTTCTGCATTTTCTGAATTGTGTAAAATTCGCATCGTAGGGTGGTTTTTTTTTTTTTAATGTTGTAAGTAAAATAGGCAATAAAAGCCAGGTAAATTCTCTGTTGTATTGATAGAATGGACAGACTAGCATCTCAACGATAAGAAGGGAGTTTCAGCTGCTTGCTACTCAGTTGTCTATAAGCAACAAGGCAAGCTAGAATTTTTGCATATGTTGCAGACTTATACAAATAAAAGTATTAGCTAAAATATCAGTCTCAAAGCAAAAACCAGTATAACTGCTCACTCAGCTCCATATCTATTGCTTTTAAACTTTGGAACTCCTGAAGTAATAATGGATCTTTAAAGCCCATTTATTTTCAAGTTTTCAGTTCAGATCTCTCAAGCTGTTCTTCAAAAACAATGAGGAGTCTGGTGGCACCTTAAATACTAACAGATTTATTTGGGCATAAGCTTTCATGGGTAAAAAATCCACTTGCCTACAAAATCTGTTAGTCTTTAAGGTGCCACCGGACTCCTCGTTTTTGTGGATACAGACTAATATGGCTACCCCCTCAAACTGTTCTGTTTATTAAAGCTGAGAGCTTAACAGCTGTTGGCTTAAAAATACTGTTTCAGATCTAAGCAGAATTAATTGTATGGTCTAAGCACAGTTCATAGATGAGATCATCTGCGTTACCCACAACCTATAATTGTAAACAGTTCATCGCAAGCTAGCCTACTAGTTGAATTGCTTCAGTTATAGCATGTTACAGTCAGAGCTGAGAGCTCTAGCCAAAAAAAAAAAAAATGTGTTTGAGGAAACTCCCATTGCAGCTGTCTGCAGTGCACTCACTGTCTGTGGGCTACGGAGAAATAGGGCATTGGTGGCGGCAAGCTGCAACTCCATTCATCTACATGATTTTAAATGTCTTTATTTGCTAAATGTATTTGTTACCCTAAAATCACTTCATAATGATTTCAACTAGCCCTTTAATTAACAGCCATGTTTATAAGGAGGTACATATAACAGAAGTAGTTGCAGGAGATAAAAACTTGAACTAGGGTCAGACACGTGTGAATGGGAACAGATGGAAATTTCGATTAGCTAAGGGGGCTTCAGGATTCTAAGGAAATGATGCTTTAAGATGAGGGGCTAAAATGTTTGGGGTAAGAACTTCTTTGCCTTAGAATTAAGGGTCTCAAGTTAAAGAACTTGTTGTCAGCGAACTAAAGATCTTGAAATGAAACTAAAGCCTCTCTTCAGTCGAGGAATGTTTCTAACTATATATAATTCTACATAGTTATTCTTGTCTTTTATTCTCCAATTGGTTACTTGGGCTTTATAACGGCGCAATGTGAGAGTCACTTGCTGCTCACTGTGCTCCCTAACATGATGAAGATAGACTCTCAACAGCAGATGTATGTCCCAGGATTATTTTTCCTAAAAGCATTGTTGGAATATAGATAAGGTTTTTCTGGGGTCTTAGAAACAAATATAGTACACTGAGGATTTGGAGGAGGGAGGGAATCAAACTTTCTGAAGAGTCTGCTTTTTTAAGCACTTATCTACATGGGAAAGTTTTACTGGTATAATTATACCAATATAGTTAAATTGCTATAGTTTTCCTGGTATAACTCCCTGTGTGGACACTCTTATTGTGGGATAAGAGTGGGTTTTTTAGCTTAAACCCCTTCCAATGTGACATACGATAAACCAAAAAAACAAAGTCGACCAGTCTTACAAGTGAATAAGAGTGTCTACACAAGGAGTTATACTGGTATATCAGTTTAAACGCACACCTTAGGTTATTATAGGATAGCTTTCCCATGTATACAAGCTCTTAAATGCTTGCCCAGATCCCGCTGATGCACGACAACCTGTGCAGTGGTGGTCTGCCGTGTTACAGTGCTGTGATACTTCTATTGCTCTTATTGTGAAAATTAATTTATTTGTGAAGAGTTTTGATGTAAACTGGGCAAGGTTGATCTGTGAATCAGTCAAGCTCAATTAAAATTAGTTTTCTTCCTTTTCCATTTGACACATGAATCTTCATCTGCGGCATGGTCATGTCTACAGCTAGCTAGTGCTGGCTTCTTAGAGGTTCCAATCACACAGTAGTCTGAAGTTTGTTCATAGCTCGGGTAGAGGGGGAGGTAGAGCCTCTAAGCTGAGAGACAGACCTGACTTTTTTTATTTGAAGTAGAATGTCGCTGCATCCTCTACAAGACTGACGGGTTTCCTCAGGCATTTTTTTTCTGGCTGAGGGGATTCGGGCTCTGTTTTGGGTGAAGGGATTGGAGCTCATTTGGGTTGGGGAAGGTTTTGCAGGAGACCTTATTTTCTGTTTTTAATTGTTGATATGATTTTCACTTTGCAAAGCGTCTAGAAAACGCTGGTGGGGCTAATAGAAGTAAATCTGAACAAATAAACTGGACAAGTGGAATTCACATGAGCAAATCCCATTGGATGGAATAGGAACTGCACTTGCAGCGTGCATTGTCAGATGAGACATCTGTCAATATGATTATGATGTGCTTTCTACTGTTTACCGTGACTGAAATGGCCAAACTCCATTTTAAGGCTTGGAATTCTGGGAATGTACAAGTTTCAGATCACTTTTAGGTTTCACTGGTGTCCTACTGTAAATTACTGGGACAGATCCAGTCCTGATGTAAGCTCACCGAAGCCAGCAGACTTATAGAAAGAGGGAAGTTAGTCCCTTGTTTTATTCTCTCAGTCTACAGTATAATGTCAATACAGACACGTAGCATGGTTATTAAAGATACTCTGCGGTATTCATTCAGGCAGCTGACTTTTTCCTGGGGCCTGGAGAAATTAGCACTTCAAAAAAAAAAAGTGGTATTTTCATTTCTTGCTGCTTTGTTCATTCGCCTGCGTGACCTGTTGCAGGGCTGCGTAGGTCTGCTCTCGGCCACACACAGTGCTTCCTGTAAATTGGTCAGCAAGAGGAAACTGCTTGCAGCACTGCAGAGCCCGCTCGGCACGGTGCTGCGTCTGGACTAGAGAACTAACACCAGCAAGGGCAGCAGAGTGCTAGGGATGTATATCTCATTGCTCTTGTTTGCGTGCACCTGAGATAGAGGAAGAGCTGGTTTTGACTGGGACAGGTAGAGAGTGAGGAACGCAGAAGAATCAGGGAAGGATCTGATTAGATATCTCAATTAGATAACTATCACCCCCTCAGGCTCCAAACCAAATTCCACATTTCTGCTGGCATGAAATTCAGATGCCACTTGGTTTGTGATATTCTGTCTGCGGTCTAATTCCCTGATTGAACTCTTGTAGTACTAAAGGGATAAAATTGTAGTTAATCCTTCTGGGTTAAATTCTCCCCTGTGCAGAGCCAGCATGAAGCCTATGAGCCCCTGGAGTCCTACACTGAAGGACTGAGTCTTAGTAGTGTGTAGACCTCATGCTGGCCTTCTTTGTGGGGGTGAATTTCACTCTTTGTGCAGAAGGATGTATGTAAAAGTACTCCCAGTCTGTTTCCCTGGGGGACTATTACATTCTTAAAGTTGCCAAGTTTGAATCTTCCCTTGTTAATCTATTTCAGGAAGGTTTCAGATTGGTAGCCATGTTAGTCTGTATCAGCAAAAAGAACGAGGAGTACTTGTGGCACCTTGAAGATTAACAGATTTCCACCTCTACCCCGATATAATGTGGTCCTCGGGAGACAAAAAATCTCACTGTTATAGGTGAGACCACGTTATATCGAACTTGCTTTGGCCCTCCCTGTTCCTTGTTCCCTTACCGCCCCCTCCAGAGACCCCCGTCCCTAATCACCCCCAGGACCCCACCCACTACCCAACCCCCCTGTCCCCTGACTGCTCCGACCCCTATCCACACACCCCCAGCCCCTGACAGGCACTCACCGGCAGCGGCGGGAAACGGAGCAGCCTGGCCCCAACCCTCTCCACTCCGTCACCTCCCACCCGCGGTGCTCCGCTTCCCGCAGTCGGTGAGTGCAGGGAGGTTGGGGAAAGTGCGCCCCCCTCCCCACACACACTTACCTGCAGCGGGAAGCAGAGCAACGCAGCCCCAGCCCGCTCCACTCTGCCAGCTCCCAGCCGCAGGGCTCCGCTTCCTGCCGCAGGTAAGTGCGGGGAGGTTGGGGAAAGGACGCCCCCTGTACTCACCTGCGGTGGGAAGCGGAGCACTGCGGCTGGGAGCTGGTGGAGTGGAGCGGGCTGGGGC